CACATCTTTATCAAATTTGGTGCATCCTGCTAGTTTGGAACACAGCCTGTGTAGATTCGCTAATATTTTTAATTCAAATAATGTATGATTTCCTTCCCTTTGAATCAAGGGGGAATTGTCAGCATATATAATTTTTTTTGGGGGGGTAAAAGGTAAAAAAGTTCACTGGCCTCTCGTTTAAGCAATTCATGACGCCCCCTGAGTCGCTTCACACACCCACACGGCCCGAGTGCACAGCGTGCTTGTTGGCACCCAGTGTATGTTTGGAGCACAGGAAATGGGATATAAAAATGAGAGAAGGAGTCCCTGAAGAAAGAGCAGCTATGCCATCGGCAACTCAACAAGCCCAGAAAGAGAGACCTGTGGATCCTTGAAGGACAATTATGATCGCCACAGCAAAGTTATAAAATACAGTTCGTAAATATTTCTGGCATGGGGTACAACAGCCCTCCAAAGGGAAGAGGGGGTAATGTGTCTGCCCCCCGCCACCTCCACCGCCGCCAACTGCAAGATGTTGCCCACCCTCTGTTTGCTGATCAACAGGCTTTGGACTGTCCTTTACCTCTGAATTTGAAGCGAGGGAAGGCTGGCACCCTGGAAGACAGGCTAATTTTAAACAGTATATATAGCTATCTTTATTGATGGGGCAATAACTCCAGCACAAACCACACAATTTGGCTGCACTGGCCAGACTTGAGTAGGTCAGGAAAGAGGGGGTCGGGGCCAACCCTCTTCTGGCCAGCCAGTCCCTCCAAGAGTTTCCATCCTTCAGCGGATGTGCATGGAGGCCAGAGACGAGAGATAGCCATTTGCAAGGTCAGCCAGCCACATTCCACAAGCCTGCACATGCTTTGAGCTCCATTTGTGTGTGTATGTGTGTTTTTTCTGAAATTGTAAGCCCTCGTAACTGAGATGGGTAACTCATTGTGACTAACAATGTCCTTTGTAACTTGTTAGGTTGTGGAGCTTTAAAGAGGAATCAGTGACCCATAGTGTACGATGATGATTATTAAGGATTGGAGACTGGGCCATGTGTTGTTGTTGTTAGAAGAGCAATAGAGGTATCAGCTTCTCTCCAGGACGTGATGGTCCCGGAGGTGAATGATTCAGGCAGGAACCTTCTGACTTGAAGAGCAGGACCTTGAAGAGCAGGATCCCCACCACCAGTCAAATACTTGGGACGGTGGCTTCATGCCTGAGGCCGCCATTTTGCATGCCTCTTGTCTGCACTATAGTGGCAGCCTGCACAAAATGGCTTCCGTCCCCAAACACTTCCTCCTGGCGCTTTGTCTTGAGCGCCACAGGGTGAAACTGAAAGCCCCAGCAAGTCCTTGGCCTGGAATCAAGATGTTAAAAAAATACACCCCAACAACTCATAAATGGCCTGGCCCCCAGCAAAGGACTTTGACCCGCGTTGTCTCCTGCAGGGCTACACCTGTCATCATCCTTGGCCCTAAATGGCTTGCTTTCTCTCCTTGGGGAGCTTCCCTGAGAGCGGGATCCAGCAGCCACTTTCTCCTTCTGTAGCTCTGGATGGTGCCCCCCTCAATGGCCTTTGCCCCCTGACCCACTGGTCCCCCTCTTTGTGCCCTCTGAGTCGGGCAGGGAAGTCCCTGTGGGCGTCCCGCCAGGCTCTTGGCTCCGTCTGTGTGTGTTTTTGTGGTTTTTAATGCAATGGTTTCTTCTCATGATGGAAGAAAGGGGCTGCAGCTGCCATGGCCACCCTCCCTTCCACGCTGTAGCCATTTCCAAGGCGCCTCGCCCTCCCCAGCTCTCCTGCTTTCGCTCTCAACCCCGCTTGGGGTTTCTGAGCCACTTGGGGGGCGTTGAGGGGTTGACAGAGGAGCCCCCCCCAGCTGAGGGGCCGGCGCGGCTCTGAGGGCCCGATCCTCAGGCGCCCCTCCTGGCTTCTTGTGGCGTTGGGGGGTTGACAGAGGAGCCCCCCCCCCCAGCTGAGGGGCCGGCGCGGCTCTGAGGGCCCGATCCTCAGGCGCCCCTCCTGGCTTCTTGTTCCACGTTTGGCCGCCCTTTCCCCTTCAGGCGATGAAGCGCGCTTCCTCCCCCTCCTCCATCCATCCCCATCACCAGCGGAATGACGACGCCTGGGATTCCCCCCACCTACAACCGGGGGCCTTTCCCATTGCAGGCAGCGGGCGCCCTCTAGTGGCTGCAGGGACCAGAGGGGGGGCTGGCGCCCCGTTCCGAAAGTGAAAGGCGGCGGTTCGAGCCCCAGGCGCAGCCCTTCGGAAAGCGGATCGTTTTCGCCCGGCTGGGACTTTGGGTAAGACGAAGAGGAGGAGGAGGAAGGCCACGCGAGGGACGGGCGATCGGGACGGGGATCCTCCGCTTGGCGCTGCTCGGGACCAGCCTTCCTCCGGGCTGGTGGGCGCGCCCGGGGTGGCCTTCCCCGCGGATGAGTCTCCGGGGTGGGGAGGTGGTTGTGGGTGGAAAGGCAATGCCTTCCAGGACTCCCCTTCCTGGGCCTCCTGGCCGGGAGATTTCTGGGAACTGTAGTCGGCAGAGTAACGTCTCCAGGCTGTGAGAGCGAGCCTTCCTCGGGGGGGGGGCACCCACGCCGGGAGTGCAGTTCGCCTTTGCGGTGCAGTTGTGATTGTGGCCAACCCTGGACGCCCTTAAAGTCACGTCCGTGCCGCCAAGTTGGAAGGGAGGCCCTTGGAGAGAGTGCTTTGGCCAGTTCCGCCCCCCCCCCCCGTGAGTTTCCATGGCCGGAGGAGGATTCGAACCCAGGTCCTGGCCCGTTGGTCTATCCGCTACACCGCACCGGCTATCCTGCGTGCTTTTCCCCTGCTGCAATAAACCCCACTGGGAGTGCCTTTTTCTCTACCTTGGCTGGGTGCCTGCCAGGGGCCTCGTAGGGGTTCCTTGAACCGGGTTTGCCCAAGCCAGTTGTTCGGCTTCGGGTCCTTTCCTTCTGGGACTGGCTCTGCAGCCCCGCAGGACAGACTCTCCCCCCCCCAGGAACCCCTTGCAGGATGCAGCTGGGAACACGGTTTTGCAAAGGAGCCAGTCTGGTGGAGCAGAGACAGCGGCTGATGAAGGTTCTGGGTTCCGATTCCCGCTGGGCCCTGAACCTTCACAGCCTTCGGAAGGCTCTCCTCCAGCGTCTGGCAGACTGCAAAAAACCTTCTCGGGGGACCCTCCTCTCCAGACCCCTGGTTCCAGGGAACTACATATATTTGTCACTCATAGATCCCTATTCCTAGTTGGAAGCCCGTTGGGTGCAGTGGACCTGCTTCTAGGCAAGGCTCGGGAGAGCAGGAGCTTCCGTTGGAAACCCTTGGCATGCATATCTGAGATGAGCCCACACTGATTTCAGTGGGATGTCTCTTGTAACCCATCACCTACCATCTAATCTCTCCTTTCTCCACAGGCTCAGCCACCACGATGCTGCCCCGTGGCTTGCGCCTGGCTGCCCTTCTGTTCCTCTGCGATGCCCTCCTGCTCTCCTTGCTGGATCTGGGGCGGCCCTCCCTGGCTCAGTGGGGGGTCCCGGCGGCCTGGCTGGAGGCCGCTGTGCGCCTGTTGGTGCTTTTGGGGGTCTGGGGGCTGCTCTCTCTGGGTCGTCCCTCCCACCTCGCCTCCGTGGCCGTGGCCGCCGTGAGTCTCCTGCCCCCCTCCTACCTGGCCGTGGGGCACTGGTTTGGAGACCCCCCTCTCCTCCTGTCTTCAGCCCCTTGGGCCTGGCTGCTGCTGAGCTATGGGGCCGTGGGGCTGGCCCTCCTCGTCTGGCAGGTTCTTGGACAAGGGAATGGCGCAACAGGGTCAAAAAAGGGGGACACGGCCACCCTGTGGAAGGTGGCGAAGCTTTTGCGCCCGGATACTCCCTACATCGCTGGGGCCTTCCTTTGCCTCACCCTGGCCGTGGTCGGTGAGTAGCCTTCGTGTGTGAGCGTGCGAGAGGCAGGGAGCGATTTCTACTGATCAATGGTCTCAAAAACCTCAGCTCACTTTAGATCTATCCAGGCAAAACTGATTTCCTACACCTGTCTTGTCTTGTGGTACGAATATTTTGCACACCAATCGGAAAGCTCAGACAAAAGGTGTCATACATTTTGTTGATGATTACTGAAGGGAAAAAGCTAAGATTGGGTGGTGAGAATTTTAATGTGTTGATTGTTGAGATTAATGTTAGGAACTGTAATTGTTTCTTTATTCTCATTTTTCTTTTTTCTTTTTTTTTGAAACAGTTATAGGATTTCAGCGTGGGCTACAGAGTTGTGTAGAATAGTTTTTAAAAATAAGATATTTAAAACAATTTTAAATCAACCAGTTAAAACACTACATTAAAGATTCAAACATTCAAATGATTGCTCTGAAACCTGCACAGGCCACTATCCTCAATGTAAGTTGCACCAGGTGCGAATTCAGCAATGGCACCTCCCAGCTATTTCTGCTGCTCTGAAAATATTGGCTCAAATCCTGTTACTTACAATAGACCCACTGAATCAGTTGGTGAGTCATCTATGTAAATTCCATTGAATTCATGGGCTGACTCTCCCTGGGAGTTCAACCACAAAGATACAAGATTTTTGCCATTATCTCTCCCCTAGGACTCACTTATACCCTGCTCCTGTATCTGGAAGCAGTGCTCTCTCAAGTGGGGAAATAGGTCTGATTGCAGATTAAAACCAGAGGAGTTTTTAAAATCAGGGCCTACCACTCTCAGGTCAAACTTGGTTTCCTTTGCAGGCCTTATTCTCGAGAGGTGCATAACAAAAGTGACCCTATTGCTGGGGAGAAAACAGAGAAGCAGGAAAGATGCAGTTCTGTGCATATATTTTTTTTAAAAAAACGCTTAATTTGTGCTCCATCTGCAGGTGAAATCTTCATCCCTTACTACACAGGATGCGTGATTGATATCTTGGGTACCCAGTACGACTCGGATGCCTTCTCCTGGGCCATCTTGCTCTTGGGTCTGGTTTCGGTTGGGAGGTGAGTTTGTTCTGCACGGCGCCCTTCCTTTACCCTGACCTCACCCTTGCCTGCCAATAGACCCCGGTTTCCCCTGTAGGCTGCAGGCGGTCTTCCTCTTCCTGTACTTCCTTCTCTAGCTCCCTCTCTGCTGGCGGTCGTGGAGGGCTCTTCATATTCACCACTGCCCGCATGGTCATCCGGATCCGCAACCTGCTCTTCTCTTCCCTGGTGCGGCAGGACGTGGCTTTCTTCCAGCAGGTGAAGACAGGTGAGGGCTCCCCCAAGGTCCCTATTTTCCACCTGGGAAGACAGAGCTTTGGGGAGGATTCTCTTGCCCAGGTATTTCCAGAAAGCCTGGATATTAACCCAAGTCTTCTTGTTCTTGCTGCGGCCACTCAAGATGCTCCCTTCTGGCTGTTGGTCTGATTGAGTGTCTGCCACAGAATCGGAAGAATGGAAACTTCTCTGCTTGCTTGGAGCATCAAAGAAGAAGTTGACCAATCCCAGTTAAACGGACTGGAGTGGCTCAAAAATAATCCACAGGTTTAGCTTCCAAGTAAACATTTTTCAGGGACGTGGTGGCGCTGCGGGCTAAACCGCAGAAGCCTGTGCTGCAGGGTCAGAAGACCAGCAGTCGTAAGATCGAATCCATGCGACGGAGGGAGCTCCCGTCGCTTGTCCCAGCTCCCGCCAACCTAGCGGTTCGAAAGCATGCAAATGCAAGTAGATAAATAGGGACCACCTCGGTGGGAAGGTAACAGCGTTCCGTGTCTAGTCGCACTGGCCATGTGACCACGGAAGATTGTCTTTGGACAAACGCTGGCTCTATGGCTTGGAAACGGGGATGAGCGCCGCCCCCTAGGGTCGAACACGACTGGACAAAAATTATCAAGGGGAACCTTAACCTTTACCTTTTTAAACATTTTTCAATGAAACAACATAAAGCAAGCTTTCGGCAAGGAAAATACGTCCCAGTATCTTCAGGATTACAAATGGCAAACTAACCACATTCCATACGTGATATATACGCTCAACACGATTGTGTCACATGGATAGTTTGGTTGATGTAATTGTACTGAGTGTATATATCACCATATGCAATGTAGTTAGCATGCCGTTTGTAATCCTGTGTGCTTTGTTGAAAGCTTGCTTTTTGTCGTTTTTATTAAAGGTATTTACTTGGAAGCTATACCTGTGATTTTTTTTTAACCAATTTAGGATGTGGAAGACTGAAATTCAAATTCAGGCTTTCTGGAACGCTGCAATTCAAGGCGTTACTCACTCAAAATTGGTGGGCCGAATCTACCTCACAGGGCTGTTGTGAGGGTAAAGGAGTGGGGCTCTCTTTTCCTCAAAGTAATGGTCGAATATAAGATGAATAATTCTGACAGGTCCATGTCTCCTCTCCACCACCATCGCTCTTCAACTTTGCTTTTAAAATGTTGTGGGGAAGCTTAACAATTAATTCTAAATCTTGAGTTTGGCAGATTAATTTTAAGAGGCACTTACTAAGTCTTACCACGGCAAATGGAACAGTTTTATAGAGCTTAAAAAGGACCCAAGGTGGGTAAAAACAAATAACAACGACAGCACAAAGAACACAACAGTCCTGTTTAGGCGGCCCCTGTTCCGTACGTTCTTTTTCTTTGAGAGTGCAGCGTAGATATGTTGGGTAGATACGTTGGCTGAGGCACAGTTTTCAGTGAAACCCGCACTTGGAGAGTTTACAAGCTGCCCCAGGAACAAAAAAAAATCCCAGCAGTATTGGAAGAGTGTGACGGGCCCGTTTCAGAAATCCCACAATCCAAGAGCAAACTTTGGTGTTACTTGGAATGATGTGGGAGGGATCTGTGGCCACGCATGTGGAAACCCGGTACTTTCCATATCCAGGCAGGCTGCCTGCATGGATTCTGGGAGTTGTAGTCCAAAATAGTATTCCCCCTCCCCCAAGATCTGCTGTGGCAAAGTTGCTATGTAGATGAAAACTGGGTACTTCTTTTCTGCATTCAGTCCATTCTTTTTTTGAGAGTACAACTTGCTGAACCACAAGGCCAGTGTGCAGATACATTGACTGAGGAATCTTTTAGGTAAAATTATAGTAAAAAAATAAGGGGGCGGGAGTGCACTTGCCAGTGTGGAATCTAGGGTTGTTGTTTTTCATGTGGGGTTTTCGGATTCCCTTTTTCCAGGATTATGACTTCTGAGGGGCATGAGCTGTTCGAGATGTCGAGGTTTCCCCATCATTGACTCCATATTCCATGTGCCTTCCCACTGAGCGATAGCCCTCCTTTCAGGATGGGTTGTAACCCTTTAATTCCCGTGTCAGCCAGAAATGCTGGATTGCCATCTTCCCGTCCTGTGGGGACAACATCAACTCATCTCGACCCTGGTGTCTTGTTGACCAGGCTGCCTCTTGGTCCCACAGGAGACTTGACTTCTCGCCTGTCCACGAACACGACCAAGATGAGCCACTCGGTGACGCGCAATGCCAACATCTTCCTGCGCAGCCTGATCAAAATTGTCGGGCTGTACGGGTTCATGGTCAGCGTCTCGTGGCGCTTCACCCTCCTGACCTTCATTGAGACGCCCCTCATGCTGGCTGCCCAGAAGGTCTATGATGCCCGTCACCAGGTACACTTGGAGGAGGGAGCTGAGTACAGCTACGAGAGGGATGGGCTGTGGAGTAAAGTGGTTAGACCCGGGTTCAGATCTAGAAAACATAAAAGAATATTGTGGAATCTCAATACTGTATCACAGAATCTCAACCAGAACAATGTGTTAAGTGATGGCATTTGTCAGTGCACTTGGACAAACTGAGCCAAATCCTTCTCCACACACCCCCTATTACTGTGTTTAGCTAAATTTGTACTTTTCTTTCCCTCTCTCCAATTTCTCCAGGCTCTGCTGAAGGCAATCCAGGACTCCACAGCACACTCCGGGGAGGTGGTGCGTGAGATGGTCTCCTCCATCGAGACAGTGCGTGGCTTTGCCACCGAAGAGGAGGAGTCCAAGTTCTACGATGCAGCGCTGGAGGAGACTCACCGGCTGAAGAACCAGAGGGCTGTGGAGAAGGCGGTCTACTTGCTCTTCCGACGGGTGAGTCTTCCTTGTCCCGTGAGGAGAAGGTGAAAAAAGAGCAGGTTTTTTTTCTGTGTGAGTCATGGTATCTTGAAATCTGCAACACCTTTTTAATACAGTCATGCCCAGCTTTATGCTTACCCCGCATTACGATGAATCCGCTTAACATTGAAGGTTTTGCAATCGCAAAAGCAATTGCAAAATGATGTTTTAAATGGGGGAATTTTGCTGCGCGATGATCGGTTCCCTGTTTCAGGAACTGTTTTTCGCTTCCCGACGATCAAAACAGCTGTATCGGGGTTTCAAAATGGCCGCCGGGTGTACAAAATGTCTCCCCACTATGTTTAGGAGCCATTTTTCGCTGCACAGGCACCCGAAAATGGCCACCCCTATGGAGGATCTTCGCTGGACGGTGAGTTTTTAACCAATTGGAGCGCATTAACCAGGTTTTAATACGTTTCAATGGCTTTTTTATTTTTGCTTTACGACGTTTTCATTCTACAGCAATTTCGCTGGAACGAATTAACGTTATTAAGCGAGGCACCACTGTATTTCTTTTAAGATATTTATACACCGACCCGTAACAGGGATTCTCTGGATGGCTCAAAGATACAAATTCTTAGGATCTCCCCCACTGCACAGGGTTCCATAGCAACCAGAACCAAAGGGGTGGGAAATGATCAGTGATGGTGTGTGGAGGAGGAGTAAAGGTGCATCGAGGGAGGGTCACACACATGCACAGGCACCCCTTAGAGGGAACCTTGCATATGCTTGTATGCATCATATTAATAGACAGCATCCTATCGGTTTTTGCATCCGGTGGGCCTAACTTGCTGAGGCTAATTGAAGCTTATTGATTAGCTCGCAGGCCACATCTTGCGTGCATAATTAGGCATGTAACCACACAGGTGACCAATATGTGCATCTCATCAAAGCGTTGCAAATTGCCCTGGCAAACTATGCAGCTCATTTGTAAGTGTTGATCCAATCCGGCTGGTATAAATAAAGGATGATGGTTAATCCATGGAACTCCGCCTACCCCAGATCCTCTCTTAATTACATAGACACATTGTTGTTTTGACATCTGCTATGTGTGGAAATTATGATAAGTTACCACAAGGCAGTTTATTCCTCCCCCCCCAGAAGAATTCCTCCTAATTACCCTTTGGCCAATTGGGAAATGTTGAACTGAGGCCCAGATGAAACTACAGTGGTGCCTCGCATAACGAGCACCCCATTTAACGATGAATCCGCGTAGCAATGCAGATTTTGCGATTGCAAAAGCAATCACATTGTGATGTTTTGAACAGCAAAACATGGTATTTCAATGATCGGTAAGTGTTTCACTTACCGATTATTCCGATGATCGGTAAGTGTTTCACTTACCGATCTTCGCATTGCGATGTTTTGCCAACGGTGGCAAGCTGATCGGTGGTTCCAAAATGGCTGCCGGGTCAACAAAATGGCCGCCCACAGCGTTTTTGCGTGGTTCCCTCGCTCACCGAGGCGGCGAAAATGGCGGCCAGATGGAAGATCTTCGCATAACGGTGAGTTTTTCCCCATAGGAACGCATTAAACGTGTTTTAATGCATTCCTATGGGGTTTTTTGCCTCGTATAGTGACGATTCTAGATAGCAACGATTTATCCAGAACAGATTATCGTCGCTATGCGGGGCACCACTGTATGTTAAGTCACTTAGCGGGCCGGGAGGAACGAAGAAGGATGGCTTCACTTTTGGGGGGCCCGAGATGGTGCCAGGTGAGCCCCTCAGAGGTGCCCCCACTGAAAAGGCCCCGCCTGGAGGTTGGCCCCCTCACTTGAATTGATTCTTGGGGCCACTCAGGGCAGGACTTGTAAAGATCTGAAGGTTCAGAAGAGGGATGATGAGAGCAGATAGTCTCTGGGGCAGCTGAGAAGCTTTCAAGGGAATCCCGGATCTCCAGGCAATGCCAGATCTCTCTCTCTTTCTCTTTCCAGATCCTCCAGCTGGGCCTGAAGCTGATCCTGCTTCACTGCGGGTACCAGCAGATCCTCGCTGGCCTCATCACCAAAGGGGACTTGGTCTCCTTCATCCTCTACCAGATGGAAGTGGGGATGTGCACGCGGGTGAGTCGAAGCAAGAAAGGCTCAACTTGTGCTGGCTTGAAAGAGGGCTGGGGAGCAGATCTGCAGGCCAGAGAGGGCCCCCTGCCTGGCTGTAGGGTCCCTTGACGCCTCGCTCCTCTTCCCTCCCCCCTCGCCACCCCTTTTGGTTAAAGTGAAAGATTTTCATTCCTGGACTCTCCAGCAGTGGGGGATTGGTTTTTCTTCTCCTCCAAAAGAGACACAAACCACCATCCCCATCACCTCTGGTTCTGAAAGATGAAGGGGAGGGAGGGCTGACCCCCTGTGGCAAAAGGGCACCCCAGTCCTGCCAACCAGGTTGAGCCCTGGACCAGATGATCAGCAAGGTCCTTTCAGCATCCTTTATCTCTTCCAACTCTCACCCCATCCCCGCTATCACACACAAACACACCCGCACAACCCGGAAAGGTGAAACCCAGAAGTATACCCTACACGATTCTTGCACGGTGGCCTTTCAAAAAGAGCCACCCTTAGGACTGTGCTTTTGTAGTTTGGGGCTGGATTCTGGGACCTGACCAAAAACACGCCAGAGCACAGCCCTGGACATCACTCCGTGAGCAGACGAGTCTCCCGGATCCAGGGGGGATTTCAGGTTGTACGGCTCATAAATTGTAAGAGTCAATGGGATGTGATGTTCCACCTTGGTATTTCCTTGGCCCTGTCCATCCCTTCTCCTTCCCTAGGCCCTGATGTATGCCTACGGAGATGCCCTCAGCAACGTGGGTGCCGCGGAGAAGGTGTTTGAATACCTTGCCCGGGAGCCGGCTGTTGGCACGGAGGGGACGCTGGCCCCCGACTTCCTCCGAGGGCAGGTCTCATTCAGGAATGTTTCCTTCTCTTATCCTGCTCGCCCCGACGTCCAGGTCTTGAAGGCAAGTTCTGTGTAAAAAAGGTGAAGTACCCCAAGAGTCTTGGGCAATTGGGAAGACCTGTGAGGATGCTGGAAGAGGGAGTCATAAGAATCATCATAGCATGAAGAAGTTGGAAGGGGCCTCTGAGGCCATCGAGCCCCACGCCTTGCTCAATGCAGAGGTCCAAATCAGAGAATGTCTGCCAGGTGATTGACCAAATTTATCTTGAGTGCCTCCAGTGTTGGAGCAATCGCCACGTCTTGAGGTCGTTGGTTCCACTGTCGGACAATTCTTACAGTTAGGAGGTTTTCCCTGATATTCCACCCAAATCTGGCTTCCTTTAACTTGAGCCCATTATTACGTGTCCTGCGCTCTGGGTTCATCGAGAACAGATCTCGCCCTTCCTCTGTATGACAGCTTTTCAATTATTTGAATCGACGACCTCGGAAGGCGGTGAGTGCTCCCACACTGGAGGGAGTCAAGAGAAACGTAGACAAGCACCTGGCAGATCCGCTTTGATATTCCTGCCTCAAGCAGAGGGTTGGATTCAATGGCCTTGTAGGCCTCTCCCACCTCCACGATTCTATGCTTCTGTTTTTCCACTGCATCTGACTTGTGATGTGTAGGGCCGTGGAATCGACGACCTCGAGAGGCGGTGAGTGCTCCAACACTGAAGGGAGTCAAGAGAAACGTAGACAAGCACCTGGCAGATCCGCTTTGATCTTCCTGCCTCAAGCAGAGGGTTGGATTCAAAGGCCTTGTAGGCCTCTCCCACCTCCACGATTCTATGCTTCTGTTTTTCCACTGCATCTGACTTGTGATGATCCTTACGGGGGTTTTGTGGGATGTGTGATGTTCAAGAAGCGGTTGGTCGTTGCTGCTCCCCTGGTGAGTTTCCATAGCTAAGCTGGGATTAGAACCCAGGTCTCGTTGAGTCCTAGTCTGTCACTCTGTCCCCTGCAGGATGCTAGCTTTTTGAAAGGCACTTTGCTCATCCTCAGAGGCAGACGTCCACTTGGCTTTGCCTCTCTGTCAGCCAAGGATCCTACCAGACACAGTTCTGGCACCTGGAGCTGCCCAGGCAACATTCTGCTGTATGGTGTTGTTGCTCAGCGGGGTAGGAATGTGGCAATCCCTTCTTAGCACCTTCCTTCTTTTGCTCTCTCCTGCTCCAGAACGTCTCCTTTGAGCTGCGCCCCGGGGAAGTGACGGCGCTGGTGGGTCTGAACGGCAGCGGCAAGAGCACCTGCGTGGCCCTCCTGGAGCGCTTCTACGAGCCTCAGTCCGGGGAGATCCTGCTGGATGGGGTCCCGATCCAGGAATATGAACACAAATACCTCCACCGGCAGGTGAGGAGGCGCCACGTGTGGCGGATGAGAACCACCTGAGAAAGGCCCAGAACCTCTCTTAGGTTGTTGTTCTTGTCTTGAATGGTTAGTTAGTTTTGCCAGTTTTGTTATCTTACAAAATGGACACCGTGAGACATGGGTTGGGCTCTGAAATCTTCAATATCTTTGTTTCACAGCACAAAAAGTTACTTTTTTTGGACATCGTCTCTCAGAATCCTCTAACCCACATGGGATTATGGGTGAGGCAGTAGGTTTTCCAAGATCCGACCTGTTTCTTATTATCTGCACTACAACACATCGGTCTCAGGATGGGGTGGAACCAAAAACAAATGGAATCCTAAAGTCTGTGTACATAAAGTGGGAACCAGGAGGCAGCACAGTTAAAACCAACCAACCTTTCATAGCCAAAAATGTGTCAGCTGTCAAATGGGGAGGGACTAAGAAGCTCCAAAGCATGGGCAGATTTAAAAACAGAAGGGAAGAATGAAAATAAATTTACCGTAACAGTCTGAAATTTTGTCCACCCATCTGTGCCCTGAATTGTCTGCAGGGGCTATTTTCTGGAAATTGAACAATTCCTATTTCTGTCCTGATGCTCCCCCGGCTTCTGTGTATTCCTTTTTGCCAAGTGGAAACTGGGAGCCACAGGATGAGATGGGGAAGACTTTAATTTCCTAAAATGGTTGTAAACTGGGAATATCGTCCTGATGGCAGTTATTTTCGTGAATTGAGGACTTCCTTTTTCTGTCCCTTAGTTCCCAAGGTTTCCACCCCATGAAAGAGATTACACAAAAGCTGTGGAACAAAAGTAGGGAATGTTTTTAATTTTAGAAAAATTGCTCCTGCTGATGATGTCATCAGTCTTAAGTGGACATAGTTGTTTGAACAGGATTTCAGTCAATGTTGGCAGCCATTGTATACAAAGGTTTTAAATGCCTGCATGAAGAAAATGGTATATGCTCAAAGCCAGAAAAGAAAATGAAGCAGCACAATGTGAAACTCTTTGGAATGAACTGATACAGCGCTTTGGGATGTTAGTGCTTCAAAGCTAAATTTTGCTGGTATGCAACCAAAACCCACCTCGGTTCCCAGATTCCAACCCAGAGATTAAGAAGTGTCTCAGCCATAGAACAACGAGCATTGGAGCTTAAAATTATGTTCAGACTGCAAAACTGGAAGGGACCCTGTGGATCATCCAGTCCAGCCCCTGTCAAGGAGGCCCAGTAGGGAATCGAACTTCCGACCAGATGCCTAAACCACTGAGCTATCCAGCATATGGGGCAGAACAACCTCCCTTTTCCCTCTTCCAAAGGAAGAACCAGGGGCAAGTGTTGCCATAGATAAGGGAAGGGTGTGGCGAGCGTTGGCCCTCAACCATCAAAATAATGTGAGATCTCTGGTTTTGGAGGTGTTGTGCATTTAATAAAGTCTTCCAACTGTTTGGAAAACATCGCATCTCTCTCTAATGCACGGATGGACAAAGTTCACACCTTGCACTTAATGCGCACCCAGAGTAGCTTTGCTCCCCTTCAGGCTTCACAGAATCCTCTAAATGCCCCTGGGGAGAAAACCGTGTTTTGTGTTGGGGTGTACAATCCATGATATGCCCTTCTTAGGATCATGCATTTGAAAGGAAGACCAAACAGGAGATGGATGGACTCAGTAAAGGAAGCCCCAGCCTTGAGTTTGCAAGACTTTTGTGTTTTTGGAAGTCATTAATTCATCGGATCTCCAAGACTCAGAAGCCGTTTGAGAGCACAGAGGATCAACGGGGCAGAATATGCCCAAGCTGTAAAGGCTCACTGCTTTTGGTCCAAGGTGATGGCCTGGAAAGTCTGAATAATGGACACAGTCCATCCCTACCCCAAAAGCGCTGCTTGTCCTGACAGGATTTCCCCGTACAGAGTTCCTAATGGCTGTCCCTCCTCTTTCCTGCAGGTGGCGCTGGTGGGTCAAGAGCCCATCCTCTTCTCGGGCTCCATTTGGGACAATATCACTTACGGGTTGGAGAACTGTAGCCTGGAGGAAGTGAGGGCTGCGGCAGAAGAAGCCGACGCCTTGGGATTCATCCATGAGTTGGAAGGAGGCTTCAATGCAGGTGGGCCAAATCTCTCTAAAATTCCGTTCTTGTTTCCTGAAAATGCAACTCTCTCAGCTCTTGGCACACTCGTCCGATGTCACGAAACACTACCACCTACACCACTGACGGGGACATGGTGGCGCTGCGGGTTAAACCAAGAAGACCAGCAGTCGTAAGATTGAATCCACGCAACGGAGGGAGCTCCCGTCACTTGTCCCAGCTCCTGTCAATCTAGCAGTTCGAAAGCATGTAAATGCGAGTAGATAAATGTGTACCACTAGGGTGGGAAGGTAACTGTGGCAATCCCCTTTTGTGGCCCCTATTTCCTTGAGCTCCACACAGGTAAACAAGCCCTTTTCGCTGCCACCAGGTATTCTCTTAATACCACTTCAGGTCCCACACAGGAACTGCCACCCCAAAAGGTCATATACTGCAGGAATTGGGGTTTATGATTGATTTATTCTTTTATTATTATTCAACGGGAAAATCACATGTGAATTGGTTCAGGTGTTAATACTTTTAAGATCATGTAGTCAATCACTTTACTATCAATGTTGTATCTCTCTTGTTATGCTTATGCGTACATTCCTGCTTGTCACATGAGTTTTACTTTCAATATTCTATCCTATACCTCTTTAACCTGTTCCTAAACCCTAACACTCTCTGTACTTCTTCTGGTCCCTGACTCTTTCTACCTCTCCCTAACTCTGTGTCTCTAACTGTCCTTCAACTCCCTCTAACTGTCACTCTAGCTCCACCCAGTGGTGGGATTCAAA